ACGTGTAATTTTGGCCCACCTTAAGTCACGCATAAAATATATTTTTTAATTCTGGTAAATCACGCGATATAATTCATCCATAAAATTAAAAAAAAAAAATTTCACGCGTTTTTTTTTTTTTAGTCAATAATCTTGATAATAATAATTGCATTGAAATTTATGAATATAAAATAATCTCATTCAAAATTTTTTGTTTGAAGTTTCTCTTGAAGGACCTTTGACTTGTTGTGCTAGACATATTTTAGCAACCCAAGATGGTTTTAAAAACCAAAAACCCTTACTTCAAGAATTAATTGAAGAAAGAGGACATAAAGTCATCTTCTATCCAAAGTTTTACTGTGAGATTAACTACGTTGAAATGTATTTGGGGGCTGCTAAATGCTATGTTAGACAACATTATAATTACACATGGAAAAGTCCTTAAGAGAATGTCCCAATGCTTTTGATTCTATATCACTGAAACAAAATTAAAAAGTATGTGATGAGAGCCTCAAAATTTATGGATTGTTACAGAAAAGGATTAACAATACCACAGGCCGAATATATTGTAAAAAAATATAAGTCACATAAAAGGAATCCAGACAATGTGATGGATGGAAATTGAATTAAACTAATAATATTTTTATTTTTGATCGACATCTTTAATCGTGTCATGTTACCTCAAATTTTTTTAACATCAAATTTGTAATGAAAGTAATAAAAAAAAATTCAAAATTTTTTATTTTTTTGTGAATTAGAAACATTATGCACAGCATTTCATGGGTTATAGTGGCGTGCACCGTACCATCGGAGAGTCACGGTCAGATTAGCCTTGTGTACACAAGGAATGTGTGAGAATGACTGTGTAGTGTCAAAGTAGCATATGACTTCAACGCTTGTAATTTTCTGATAATCAAACATTACATATCGAATTGTTACATGTCAAATTATTCCATATTGAATTGTTCTTCTGTAACAATTGTGTTGCCTTGACACCTTAATATGATTTAATATTAGTGTTAATAATGATTATATGAGAAGCAAAACGATGCCAATAGTTTATTATCACAAGAATTGTCTATAATAATACCTAAAGAGACATGGCAAGCTCCGCTCCGCGTTTGATTTCAACAATATACATTTATATAAAATAAAAGGCAATACATCATCAATACATTTATTATAAAACAATCAAAAAAATTAAATACACAAAATAAAAAATTATGTACTTTTCGTTGTGAATAAACAACACCCTATCTTCTTTAGAAGAACCATACATGCCAAACCACAACATTCACGTTCCCTCGTCTTGTAAAAAGATAAAAAAAATTCAATCGCGTCAACAAAAATAGCATTCTTCGTACAACCAATACACACGTAATAATTAGTCGTGCGCGTGCTTATGCCGATCAGAACAAAAATTTCTCATTTTTTATTTTTTTAAAATGTTCAAGCAATCAAATAAAAGAAGAAAAACCGAGGATATTTGGGAATCAACGAAATCAACGAAAAGTAAGTATTATAAAAAGAATGATTGTGCTTGTCGTCATTCTAGTTTAAAAAATAACAATAGTTAACCTAATACATATTTGTTCATTTTTTCAGCACGACTATTATACAGTCCGATTTTAAATTTGAAGATATGGCATTGGTGGATTGGAGACAGAATTTAATGCCATATTTCGTCGTGCATTTGCATCTAGAGTTTTTCCACCCGAATTAGCAGAAAAATTTGGCATTCAACACGTTAAAGGTTTCTAACATATTGACATTAATATACATAAGTAAGGGATTAAATAATACATTTTTTAATTTTATATATATATATATTTAAAACTTGGTTTTTTTAAGGTATTCTTCTTCATGGACCGCCTGGAACAGGGAAAACATTATTGGCTAGACAAATTGGAAAAATGTTAAATGTGCAAGAATTAAAAGTTATTAATGGACTGGTAATATTGAATAAGTACATAGGTCAATCTGAAGAAAATATTCATCAATTGTTTGCTGATGTAGAAAGAGAATATAAGGAGAAAGATTCTGGGTTACATATAATAATATTTGATGAGTTAGATGCTATATGTAAACAACGTGGTAGTGATGGAACTGGTAGAACTGGTGTTGGTGATAGCATTATAAATCAGATATTAGCAAAGGTTAATTCTTTTTATTATAATAATAATATTATTATTATTATTGATTTATTAAGGAAATGATTCTTTAATTATATAGATGGATGGTGTTGAACAATTGAACAATATATTAATCATTGGTATGACTAATCAATTGGATATGATTGATGAGGCATTACTTCATCCTGGTTGGTCTTATATTATTTATCTGTGTAAAAATAAAAATAAAACTTTTTTAATCATAAATATTTTTTTGATTCTTAAAAGGTCGTTTGGAAGTTCACATGGAAGTTAGCTTACCAGATGAATACAAATATTAAAAATTCATACTTCAAAGGTGAAAAAAAAATAAATATTATTTGTTAAGTAAAAAACAAATTATATAATTGAGTAGAATATTATTATTTACTTTTTTGAATTTTAGATGAAAAAAAAAATAATACTTTGGATGTTGATGTTGATCTAGATGAATTGGCTAGTTTAACCAAAAATTTTAGTGGTGCAGAAATCAGTGGACTTATTAAGAGTGCTAGTTCATTTGCATTTAATAGACATATCAAAGTAGAAACACTCACAGGGATAAGACCAGATTTTGAAAACATGAAAATAAATAGAGATGATTTCCTAGAGGCATTGAATGAAACGCACCCAGCTTATGGTGTCAGCAATGAAGAATTACAACGTTATATCCAAAATCAAATTATTCCATTTGCACCGCATGTAAATAAGATTGTGGGCGAGACTGCGAAACCTCAAAATACGAAACTCTGCCGAAACTCTAATAAACAATTAATGTGTAACCTGCCGAAACCCTGCTGATTGATTTCTGGAGGAGTTTCAACAAGCAACCTTAATTGTAAAGGGCATCTCTTCTCCTATACATGTTTGTCAAAATTAATTTGACTTTGACCCAACTCTCAAAATCACAATTTTTAATTGCATCTAACTAATAATTTATATGTTTTTCATATGGCTCAATTAATTGCGTCAAAAAAGTCACCTGATTGAGTCAAGTGATCAACCTATTTCTACCACATCATCTCCGCTTTGCTAAAGCTTAAGCATAAGGGGAGCAGAGGTGAGCTAGCTAGCAAAAAATCATTATTTTTTACCCAACTTTTTGGAAGGAATTTTTTGTTCAACAAATTGCTCTTTTGAACCCTGATAATAAATAACTATATCTTGAACATGACATAACTTTATGCATATTGTAAACTTCAAAGCCAAAAATCAAAAAACCAGCATGGCCAATATCACATGCAAAGCCAAAGTCATTTTATTTTAAAAAGGGTTATATAAATATAATTATATATAACAATTTCAAGAATCTCATATTTGTTTTTTCTTTAACATTAAATTAAAAGTTCTTACATTAAAATGTTTTGAGAATATTTTTATTTCAAATAAAATCTTTTCACCTAATTATTTGATAAAGATACAAAGAATAACTTTAAAATTTTTAATATTTTCACCAACAACTTTGTTAAGTCATTTACAAGTAGCATATTAATATGTTTTAATGGTAGAGTATTATCATTAGATATTTTCTCAAAATTAAATCTTATTTCATATTTATATATAACATTACATTATACAATCACATGTGAAGTTGTAATAATTAAAATAATTAAATATTTATATATAATTTATATACTTCATATTCTTCTAGCAAATATACTTCTTTCTTTTTATTTTTAAGATCCAAATTCTTTTCATAATAATGACCATGCTCATAATAACAATAAGGTTCATTATTAATACTGTTGCGTATGTCTAAAACATTAAAATCTACAAATCTTTCATGAAAATCTACATCATCTGTTGTTGTATTAATCTTTTGTGGATTATGATGTATTGCACATTCAGGTCTTTTGACTCTACTTAATAATGAATTTTTAATTTGATTTTGATCAATTTTGAAAATAAAACTTTTGTTTGTTTTAATACTATAAGAAGCATCTGAGGGTTTTCCTTTTAAATTCCAACATACTGGATTATACCCTCCAATTAATTCTCCAGTTTCTTTAATTTCCATGATGACAACTGTTTGTTCAATGTTATAGCATTTCTCCTCAAAAGTTGACCTTGAAAATCCATCTTGGGACCCACTGAGTATCAAATTAAATTTATATGGTAAATCATTTGGATTATAAAAATCTTTTTCTTCATCAATCCAACTGGAAACTAGAGATTTCATTTCTAAACTTAATAAATTTCCAATTCCTGATCTTGGTCCTTTTCGAACTAATAACCTTGATTGCCATTCAACATTAAGATGATGTTCAAGGATTTCTTCGTACAAATCTTTATCAAATGCTTTTTTATAAGGTTTGATTTTTTTATAAAAATTTGTAGAAGTGATTTGATCAAATCTTACTAATGGAATAAGACCATCTAATATATTTTTTAATTTATCAAAATCTTCTCTATCCCATTTTGAAATATCTTTTCTCAAATTTTCATCTTGTCCTATTCCCCATTGAATGACATAATCCCAAATATCAATTTCCTCTAATTTTAAACTATCTCTTTTTAATATAGTTATTAGCATCAGTTTTTCAATATCTTTGAAACTGTTTGATTTAAAAAATAATTCTGGTTTTTTATCAATCAATTCATTGCAATGGCTTTGAAGTAAACTGAATGATTTATATTTTAATTTATAAAGATTAGTTAAATTCTGTTGAACCCATTCTTTTTTTTCAATAATTAAATAATTTTGTATATCTTCAATTAATTCATCAAAGTTTAATTCATCACATGCTTCAAGAAGTTTAAGAATTTCATCTGGATCCAGGTTATCAATATTAACAATTCCATTGTAAATATATCTTTGAAAAAATCATTTTTTTTAAATTTAACATTTAACATTGTTTCAATAAAAAACATATTATAATTAATTATTTAATTAATGATAATACTTACATTAAAAGAACTTCAAATATTTTTGGAGAAATATTTTCTTTTTCAAATAAAATAATTCCACCATCAGATCTTTTTACCCAATTATTTGATAAAGCTGCTTTGAAATAAACGGATCTTGCTTTTAAAATATTGGAATGAGCTTTAAAAGTCTTAACATCATCATCATCATCACCTTCTCCAACTTTAATTTCTACATCATAAAAATCTGATTCATTTAACAAGTCAGTTAAATCATTGAAAAGCTTACTCATATGTTTTAATGGTAGGATATCTTCATTAGAATCAATAAACTTTTCAAATAAGTTTTTGATGTTTTCTAAAGATGCAAGACTATTATTAGGCATTTGGAATATTGCGAGAAGATAAATCAAATTATAAATAAATTTATTATTATTTATTTATTTGTTTCACGAAAATAATTAACTTCGTAGATAATTTAACCAATTAATTTTTATTTTTCACAACAATTAATGAGTAAGCAAAGATTTAGGAATAACGTTGGTTAAATAGTGGGTACTAACAATGGTCAATGAAGTATGGTCCAAAGGTTAATTGAGAAATACTGGTAGAGTCATTGTATAAATGTTTAAGTTGTTTGTAAATAAACCAAAGCAAGCTTGTAATTGTAAATGATTGGATGAATCAGTCATAAGCAAATAAAACCCACTCTATAAAGTCCTTGAGCTTTCTAAAAGATACATATCTATATTCGATGCGTTGAGCATGCTTACAGATCCAACGAAGCTTTCTATATAGATACAAGAAGCAGAAGTAAGCAAGAATCATAGTAAATTTGTAAACTAATTAATTGACAAACATTAAATTATTGTGTATTGGTTGCAATTAACTTATAAGAATAGACAAGCCATTGTCGGTTATACTTGTTAAATAACAATCAACCCTCCCTAAGTGCACTCATTTTAAATTCACATGTTGTTCTCATTCCGAGTAGAGGTTGGAATCGACCAAAAAATCCTTAGTCGACTACTAGTTGGTCGAAAATTTCTTTATTCGACTAAATTTTTTTTTTATAATAATAACAAATAACAATTTCGTTTTAATTTACAAATTACGAATTCATTTCCATTTGAATCTTTCATTTTTTCAAAATGCTTCCACACAAATCCATGCGTTACGATTCGTTTGTTTAAAGATCTTCTAGAACCACCGCTTAACTCATTGGAACTCGAAGCCAATGAACTATTGGACCTTGTATTGGAAGTGTTTATTCATTCGCATGTAAAATTATCATCAACAACACCACTACTATTGTCGTTATCATCATATTGATGGTATTGATACTCTTTCGCATAGAAATTTCCATTTTGAATGATAAAATGCAAAAATCGTAATTGGTCAGACAATAATAATATTAGCATAGTATTAGTATTAGTATTAGTAGTATTAGTAGTCGACTAAATAATCGATTAAAATAGTCGACTATTAGTTGTTCAAAAAGGAGTTTAGTCGATTATTTTAGTCGATTCCAACCTCTAATTATTTTATTATTATTATATAAATTTTGCTGACCACCTTTAATAATTGTATTTTCTTCGTGTTTGTTGGGTTTTTAGACTGTGAAGACCCATCCTTTTGTTTACGAATGTACAGCAAAAAAATAATATCATCAATTCTGTTCACAATAAGATTAGTAAAAAATTCACAAAAATTAATGATTAATGCGAGATAATTTTACTCATTAATATAAAACAATTTATTTTTTCCTTTAAAATATAATAATATTAAATTATCAGTTCATTATCATAAAGTGATAAATATATTATTACATTGGTCATTTATACCTACACACACACATACATAAAATAAAATTCTTTATTTTGATTAAATGGATTATTTAATTTTTAAAAACAATATTTTACAGGATATTTAGAAAACAACACTTAAATGAAATATTTTATAATATTTTATCCATTATTATTAGGAAGCTTTGATTTTTTAATTTTTTCTTTTTTATGGGTGAAACATTGTAATGAGTCGTTTTTTTTAATTTTTTATAAATTTTCTAAGCACTAAAAAAAAAAAAAATCTATTATCATCATTTATTGTTATAAAAAATTTGATTGATTTAAATACCTTGAGATCGTAATTGAATGCAACTTTTCATAAAACTTGTATGGTGGTTCTTTGCTAAAGATATTGTTATCGAAATTAGAATTTGATGCCGATTTATTGGCCAAAGCCGGATTAATCTAATTTTTATATGTCTATTGTCTATTGTTTATTGTTTATCATATTTTATCTGTATAATTATATTAATTATTTCGTAACACGTTATTATCTATTTAACTTTTGGTAGAAATTAACGAGGGATGATTACGAAGAGTGCGGAATAACCATTAAATGGCCGAAAAAACAAATATTGCCATTTGATGGCTATGCAACGACTAATTAATTAACATGCATACAAAAAGATTGAAATCGACATACTGTAACAATAACTTTGTAATATAAACCAAAAAATTTCGTAAATAAAACTATTTCATTGATTAAAATCTATTCATTCTGATCCACATTAACATAAAAATATTGTCAACTTGGTGCAGGTTATGTGAAATATTCACAAGTGATTTAATACAATTCAAAAATAATTAAATCAGAAACTTTTACCCGGACGATATACTTTACGATGAAATACGACAACATATAAGAGGGCACGAATAAATACATCTTGAATATGTCAAGGCGCTCTGCAAATATAAAAACGCCTAAAAATTTTAAAAGTACCATCTAATTGGTTACGCCTAATCAGTTCGTGCTCGCGATCCTAAATAAATAAAGTAAGTGTATAAAAAGTACAGGATAAGTTGGTTTAACCCTTCCAACCAACCATACGTTTTATTTTAAAGCAACTATACCAAGCTCTGTCTGGTCTGTAAAAAAATCAAACATTTTCTTAAATCATAAAACGCTAATAAAAACTAATTCGTTAGTATAGCCAATTCATTTTGATACACATAATCAAAAATTATTGTTACCATCAATTAATACGCTCTCCCAAATCATAATCGGTGCAGATTGTGTGGAAATTTACACTAAGAAGATAAAATTTTTTAATTGAAATCTACAGAATTTTTTTAATATTTTCTTTTCTTTTTTTTTTTTTCAAGATATTTCATAAAATTGCACCTTCCACTAACTCATCAACGAATGAAGGTATCTGTAAGTTATTATTATTATTCTTTCTCTTTTATTTTAGTTTTTTATTATTTATTACTTTATTTACACCTTACGAGGTAACCATTTTATTCAAAAAATTTTGTAAATCCAATTGAGAGAATTAACATCAAATCAGAAGTTTTTGTTCAAGTTTATCAACAAATTCTCAAGATGACATTAAGGATTCTCAGTTAACCAATTTGGTCTTTAATTATTTCTCTAAACATCTTGATCAACTTTTCAAATATCACTACCAACTAGAAGAGCCTTACCACAACAAAATTTGTTATTCTTGTGAAACAAAAGATCATATCAAGAAATATTGTAAAGTCCAAGGACTAATTGAGGCGGAAGATATAGAATTCATTTTTCAAAACCACTTTATTGTGAACTCTGCAGAGGAAAAGGACATTTGAAGAAAAATTGCAACAAATTAATTAAAAAAGAATATCCCAGACGATTTGCCATACGAAGAAGACCCTTATGAGGATTAGTTGAATGAACTTTGATACTATAGAGCAAAATACTTTAGAGCACAAAAGACAACGTCGATTACATCCATGTTTAACAACTATAACTCACCTTCATCGGGCGGGACCTATCTTGCCATGATTGCAACCTACTATGTCAAAACTTCTCACCACAATTCCTCATATTTTGGAATTGAATGACTGATAACTGTCAGGCCATATATTGCACTTCATATACCCTCTTTGATTTCGAGCATTTATTAGTGGGACAAGATCCAGAACAAGTTTGGAATTTATCTCAAGTATTATAGCATTATACAGGGAATACCCTGAAAATTATATCAGAATATATAGAGGCAGCAGCAAGGACTAATCAATTTCATTGGCACCAAACGAAGTTATATCAAGTTCTGTAGAGCAAACAAGTGGAGATAGTGACAACCCTAGTGACTCAGATGGCAATTCTATTTCAGATCTATATAGGAGACTTTTTCAATTTAAATCAACCAGTAGTAAACCACAAAACCAAAAAAGTAAACAAACCAACACATCAAAAAGATATACAAACTCTTGCTAATACACTTCAACAGGCGGTGAACGCTCGGTCCCGTTTACTTCGTCGAAAATCATTTCGTCGACAATCATTTCGTCGACAATCATTTCGTCGAAAGTTCATTTCGTCGACAGTTCATTTCGTCGAAAATTAATTCGTCGGCTTATGTATCGTACTAATGATAAATGAGGCGATGATAGTGATGTCAACAATATCGACATTGAATATTTTAGCATTGATAATAATTATTGTTTTTTAGTAGAGTGTGTGGATCAGACAAATT